ATATATATATATATATATATATATATATATATATATATATATATATATATATATAGTTCTTAGGTATGCTAGATTTATGGGATAAATTTCTCAATATCAAAGAGCGTATGTAAATGTAAATATAAAGTGAACATTGAAGACAACACTCAGAGGTGACAGGCTGTTTCATGCTGAACGCAATCGTCAGACGGCCTGACGATTGCGTCCAGCATGGAACAGCCTGTCACCTCTGAATGTTGACTTCAATGTCCACTATATATATATATATATATGTGTGTGTGTGTGTGTGTGTGTGTGTGTGTGTGTGTGTGCGCGTGTGTGTGTGTGCCCATTCTGGTACTTCCTTTGAGAATCTTATGTCAAATTCTTATGTGTTTTATAAATTAAAAACAAAATTATGACTAAAAAAATCTCAGCTGATCTAGCCATCGATATTTCGTCATTGTAAAGCCTACAGCTATACCTCATTCTTTCAATTTTTCCTCTAATCATTATGACATTAATAGTAGTGCGTTGAGTTAATTGTATTTCCCCCCAAATGATTTGGAGTCTTGCTGTTTTATTTCGATTATATTTTCCTTGTATTTTAATGCCCATTAGTTTCTTTTCTATTAATAGTGACTTGTTTGTTGCTAACTGCTCATGGAAATGCCGGCATTAATGGGACTGAGACGATTGGATGAGACAAAAGCCAAAAGTAGTTGAATATTTACTGGAAATGTTACCGACATTCATGGCGTCAGAAAAGAAGTAATATTCAAATTTTAAGAGACAACAAAATGGTAATAATCTACTGACATGGTACATAACGATCACATATATATATATATATATATATATATATATATATATATATATATATATATATAATATATGAACCTAAAGAGTCAGGCAGACCTACCTAGGTTTCACCAACGCGGATCATCAAGGTACGCTGGGCAGCGTACCCTGACGATCCCCGTAGGTGAAACCTAGGTACGTTTGCCTTTCTCTTTAGGTTCATAGTTAGATTTGCTCTACTTAGCGTACTGAGCATTTTGCTTAGTTATTTTTGCTTTACTCGTGTTGGACATTTTTTTTCTTTGGACTCTGAGCTTGGATTCTGGTCGATTGTTTTCGCCTGCATTACATGTTCTTAGTTCTTTCTTTTCTTATTCCTGAGTTTTCGTTGTGTATTGGCTTGTTCATTTACAAGACAAAAACACCTCAGTTTGTTTGGTTAATAAGTTATGCATAATTCTTGATGGTTCGGGCATTTTCGATACGTGACTGAAGAGACAATTTTTTTCTCTTCCTGCGGTAGACCAGTTGCCATCCAATGGTAAAGAACCCGGTCTGTCCTGCTATTTACCCATAGCTGGGGTGGGGGAGAAGAAGAGGATGCATACCTTTCTCAGGGGTATTAGCACGTAAGTGAATGTAATAGATTCGACTGGATTATCGAACTCGGCTCTCCGATTCCTCAATCCGATCGGCTCCCCATTATGGCACCGTGCCTTTACGCGAGCATTATCTAACTTGTGTGTACGTGGTAATAGAAATGGTGGCAGTTAAATATCTCCCTTTCTCTCTCATATATATTTTTCAATATATATATATATATATATATATATATATATATATATATACTCTTTACAAATGTATTTAATATATCTTTAGTATCTTAATTCAAACTGTAAAGAAAAATTTACTTTGTTTAATGAAAATAAATATCGAGCGCTCATTTTTTTGAGTCAGCTTTAACATATTTCAAATTCTATGTTGTGTTAATAGGACTCGCCTGGATTATACCAACGGTTTATTATATATATATATATATATATATATATATATATAAAGAAGGAATTCGACACAGTCATAAAAACTAACCTAAACGAAATGAATTTTCTTCTAGATGTTACATTCAACCTCAGAAAACGTACATATAAACCAAACAGAAACCCAATGATAAACCACTGTATATACATACATCTTTCAGTCATCCGACTTCTATTATTAAATCATACCAAAATCGATTAACCGCAAGCTTTCTGACAATTATTCCAAAGAAACCATATTCAACGAAGCTAAGAAAGCCTACGAAACTGCCCTTAAAGATAGTGGAATCTCGCATCATTCACATACTCACCACAGAATACAACAAATGCCAACATGAAGAGAAATATGATATGGTTCTTCTCACCGTAAAGCAAAAACGTAAAAGCAAACGTAGAAAAAAATATTCTTCAAAGTTTTACACAAACACTTCCAGGGATCAAGCCCTCTACGCAAAATATTTAAAAAAGCACAAGAATAAAACCATCTACAAACCAACCGAACAAATTAAACTGTAACTGCAGAATAAAGAATGAATGTCCCTTAAACGGTAATTGCTTACAAAACAACGTAGTATACCAAGCCACGGTAAAATAACCAGACAATGGAAGAAAATATATATAGGAGTAACAGAAAGACCCTGGAAACAAAGAAACTATGCACACACAACATCTTTCACAAATACTAAATACGCGAACAGCAAAATGATTTATAAGTGTATCTGGGAAATTAAAAACAAAACGCAAATCACACCAAAAAGAAGGAAAATAAAGAAAATATCATCAGCATATAGCAATCAATCCAAAACCTACAAATTTTTTTATTGGAGGACAAATAGCTATTATTACTTTCTCAGACCAAAATAGACTACTAAATAAACGATCTGAACTAATCTCAAAATGCAGAAATGAAAACAAATTTTTACTACGTTACTTAAAAATCGAAAAAATAACAAGAATATAATAAAAATAAGCAAAATAATAATAAAAAACAAGTAAAATAAATTAACCCAATCAAATAATAAACATATTAACAAACCACTCCCGTTAGAATAGAAGACAAAGAATAAATAAAAAAATGAAAAAACAAGTAAAAATAAACAATCCAAAGAAATAAATGAAGTAAATAATAAACAAATTAACAAACCGATTCCGCCAAAATAACCGTTAGAATAGTCTACAACATTCAATCCAAAAGTTGGAGGAAAAATAGCTATAATTGCTATATAAACGAAAAAAAAGAAAAATTTTACTACATTACTAAAAAATCGAAAATCAAAAAGAATACAAAATATACAAAATAAAAAAAATAAATAAATAAAATAATTTAATCCGAATAAATAAACATATTAATAAACTGCTCCCGCTAAAATAAAAATAATAAATAAAAAAATAAAAAACACATAAGCCAAAACAAGTAAAAATAATCAATCCAAATAAATGAATAAAATAAAAAACTGTCCCCCGTCAAAATAAAAGTTAAAGGAGATTACAGCAATCAATCCAAAAATTGGACGAAAAAGGAACTTTAATTACCTTAAAACAAACTATAAAATAAACGATCTGAAATAATCTTAAAAAAATTACTACCTTACTAAAACATCGAAAACCGAAAAGAATACATTAATATATAAAATAAAAATAAATAAAAAACAAGGAAAATAAATTAATCCAAATAAATAAATAAACAAACCACTCCCTCCAAAATAACAGTCAGAATGGACTACCCACAATGCCTCACTGACCCGAAAATATAAATAGTCGAAAAAAAAAGCAGCACACGTGGTCTGAAGATTGCGTCTAGCATGAAACAGCCTGTTGCCTCTGAGTTTTGACGTCAATGTTCATTTTTATATTTACATACGCTCTATCTCTGATATTGAGAACTTTACACCATAAATATAGAACACCTTAAAATATATATATTAAAAATAATTATCGATATATGTGTGTGCGTGCGCGGGTGTGTGTATGAATGTATGTATGTATATATGTGAGTGTGTTTGTGTGTGTGCACAATATGCCACCAGGTCCTCAAAAGAACAACCGCATGTTTTGAGTTCAGATTTGTTCTTCTTCTAGACAGATTCGCCACCCAATGCTATAGGACCCAGTCTGTCCTCCTATTTACCAATACCAGGTGGGAAAGGGGAGAAGAAAGGACGGATCCACACCTCGAACGTAATGAACTCGACTGGAATTCGAACTCGGATCTCCGATTCATCAATCAATCTGTTCTCCATGCCTCCACTCACATACACACACACACACACACACACATATATATATATATGCCTAAATGCATACATACGTATATATATATATATATATATATATATATATATATATATATATATATATATATATATATATATAAGTATATAATTGGTATATACGGAATGAATTCCAATAACAAACAATTACTATTCTTAAAAGAGTGCTCAATACAAAGTAGAGCAGATATAATTATTATTTATAAAAAAATTATAAGTATGTTATAAAATCACTACAAAAATAGCCATTTTTGTAGCGATTTTATAACATACTTACGTTATAATTTTTTTATAAATAATAATTTTATATATATATATATATGTGTGTGTGTGTGTGTGCGCGTCTGTGTGTGTGTGTGTGTGTGTAGGTGTGTGTGTGTGTAGATCTAGTCTTCGTAAAAACAAACATCCCTTTAGGCGTTTTATGTCAGCCATATTGGATTGATCGTTGTTACTTAAATCTGTAAACGGAGACGATACCTCGGGCGAAAGACTGCTTAGCTGAAATCAACCGAGAGAATTTTGTACAGTAGGGAATGGGTTGGGGCTGGGCTTGGCCCGATAACGTTAAAAGTATAGAAGGTTTTCCCAAATATTTGGTGTGTGCTAACGGGCAGGTCCGGTAGGTCGAGCTATCGTCTTTACTTTAACCCCCCACGGTCATCTTTTCATATTGTACAGATTCGTGGCGAGTAGATTTGCAAGACAGGCCGTGGCGCTGGCCTCTGTTGACAGTTGAGCTTTCGACTGTCGATCGAAACATTTCCTTCATTCACCATATTTTTTCTATCTCTTATTTTTTATTTTTTATTCCACCGTTCATATTGTTATTAGAAAATAATTATCGATCAAATTATCGTCATATGCAAGCCTCGATCTAAATGTGCTTCTATCTCTTCGTATCAAGATATTT